TATTATGGCGAGTTGGTTGAGATTTTTAGGGAATTGGACCATCGTGACAAAGTACTCATGAAGGACCCTGATTATGTGAAGTCATATCAGAAGTCCATTGAAATATTAAGGGTGCATATATTCCTTGTTGGACTAGATGATGATTTTGAGCAAGTTCGTGGAGAAATCTTGCGCAAAGAAGTCACACCTGATTTAGAAGAATGTTATGCATTGATCCAGAGAGAGACAGTCCGGCAAACAACGTTGAAAACAGAAGATATGATTTCTGATTCCACAGTTATGATGACAAAGAAGCAGTCAACAAATCACCACAGCAAATCGAATAAGCACATCTACCGTTCTGAATAATGCATGGATAATTGACTCTGCATGTTCTGATCATATGACTTTTGATGTTAGACAAATTAAAAATCTTAAACCTTCATCACCAAAAAGTATATCCACAACCAATGGTAGTAAATCCACTATTATTGGAGAATGAACTGTCTCTATTTCAAACAATTTGAATATTGATATTGTCCTTGTTGTTCCTTCTCTTAAATATAACCTATTGTCAGTCTCGTAAATAACCAAAGTTCTTTTATGTGTTGTAATTTTTGGACCTGACTCTTGTGTTTTTAAGGATATTCAAACTAGGAAGACGATTAGTTATGGTATTAGGCGAGGAAGGTTGTATTACCTGGACCTGACAGAAAAAGATTCAAAGAGACTTGGTCAAGTGTTAGCAACAAAAGGGTCTCAAGAAGTAAGAAAAGGCGAGGATATATGGTTATGGCATAAGCGTCTAAGACATGCATCTTTTGGTTACATAAAGAAATTATTTCCAAATGTATTTGACCAAGTAGACACTTCAACTTTTTATTGTGATGTTTGTGAGCTTGCAAAGAGTCATAGAACACATTTTTATTTAATTTTAAATAAAAGTTCTCTTTCTTTTATGATCATTCACTCTGATATATGAGGTCCATCTAAGGTTACAACGTTGGGTGGCTCAACGTGGTTTGTAACGTTTATTGATGATTGTACTCGAATGACTTGGTTATGTTTGATGAAGTCTAAAAGTGAAGTTGGAGGACTATTTCATAAATTCTGCAAAATGATTAAGACCCAGTACAAAACACAAATTTAGGTACTGCGCAGTGACAACGGAGGAGAATATATGCAATCAGAACTTCAACATTTTTTAGTAACCAAAGGAATTATTCATCAAATATCTTGTCCAAGTACTCCACAACAGAATGGGGTGGTAGAACGAAAAAACCGTCATCTATTGGAGGTGGTCCGAGCTGCGCTAATTGGAGCTCACATGCCAACAATATATTGGGGAGAAGCTCTCACATATGCAATATACATTATCAACCGAACATCGTCCAGGTCTCTTGAGTATAAAACACTTCTTCAATCACTTACAGATGCAGTAGTAAGTCCTAAAATTGCTGAACTAACACATAGAGTTTTTGGTTGTGTTGCTTATGTTCACTTACACAAACATTAGAGAAGTAAGTTGTCTCCTATAGCTGAAAGGTGTGTGTTCCTTGGCTATGCGGATCACCAGAAAGGATATCGGTGCTACAATCCACAAACCAAACAAATGTTTACTACTATAGATGTAGTTTTTCATGAAACCTTGTATATTTTTCCCCCGAGTCTGAAATTCAGGGGGAGAATTATGATGAAGTTCAGACTTTTGTTCCTCAAGAAATTGATATTGAGATCAGATTGAAGAAAGAAAGTTACAAAGTTGTATCAAGAGATGATGAAAATATGCAACAATGTTATGATCAACAACCACATAATGAGGAAGATTTTGAGCATGTTGAGATCGAAAATTTGCCTGTTGATGCTAATGATATACCACACCAATCGTCCCCTCAAGAACCTAATACAGAAAGAAGAATTCTGCCAGATTGTGTCACTAGAGGTATCCCTAAGCCTACTTATGATCCTGACCTCACCAGTAAGACAATATACCCTATGAGTAATTATGTTTGTAACCAGAATTTGTCTAACTCAAATATCGCATTTATAAGTCAATTATATACTGTATCTATTCCTAACAGTGTGCAGGAAGCTTTAGCTAACTCCAGGTGGAAGGATGCTATGAATGAGGAGATGAGATCCTTGCAAAGAAATAAAACATGGGAATTAGTAGATTGTCTAGTTGGAAAGAAACCAGTAGGATGTTGATGAGTGTAGACTGTGCAATTTAATGTAGAGGCACAATTGAGAGATTCAAAGCTAGATTAGTGGCAAAGGGGTACACACAAGCATATAGAATATATTACATTGAAACGTTTGCTCCCGTAGCCAAAATTAGTACAGTTCGAGTATTGTTATCTCTAGCTGTAAACCTTGATTAGTCCTTACAATAATTTGATGTGAAAAATGTCTTCTTACACGGGGAATTGTCTGAAGAAGTTTATATGGAGCTACCAGAAGGATGTGGATCCCAAATACACATAGCAAGAAGGTATGCAAGTTGAAGAAGTCATTGTATGGACTAAAACAATCGCCATGAGCATGGTTTGGTAGATTCACCAAGTCAATGCTTGCTTTTGGATACCAACAAAGCAACCAAGATCATACCTTGTTTCTAAAGAAAAAGGAAGAAAAGATTACAATTCTTATTGTCTATGCTGATGACATGATAGTTACGGGAAACGATCTAGAGGAATGTAAGACATTGAAAGAGTATGCAAGACAAAGGAATTCGAGATGAAGGATCTTGGTCATTTGAAATATTTTCTTAGAATTGAGGTCTCAAGATCAAAATCAGGTATTTTTCTCTCACAACGAAAGTATGCATTGGATTTACTAAAAGAAACTGGAATAATAGCATGCAAACCAGCAAATTCTCCAATTGAAGAGGGATTGAAACTGTGCATTAAAGAAGATCAAACTCCAACTAACAAGGGAAGATATCAGAAACTTGTAGGGAGATTAATGTATCTCTCACACACTAGGCCAGATTTAGCTTATGCTCTTAGTGTGGTTAGCCAGTTCATGCACAATCCAGGTGAAAAACACAAGGATGTTGTTATACGGATTTTAAGGTATATAAAAGCTCCTCCTGAAAAAGGAGTTATGTTCAAGAAGAACTCCAATTACAAGGATGTGATGGTTTATACTGATGCAGATTGGGCAGGTGCTCTTGATAATAGAAGATCAACCTCTGGATACTTTACATTTGTATGAGGTAATCTTGTCACATGGAAAAGCAAGAAGCAGAAAGTTCTAGCTAGATCCAGTGCAGAAGCTGAACTTAGAGGAATGGTTCTTGGACTTTGTGAAGTTTTGTGGCTCATACTACTTCTCCAGGATTTAGGGTATGCACATACACGTCTCATTCAGTTGTATTGTATTGTGATAATAAAGTTGCGTGCGACATTGCTCACAATCCTGTCCAACATGATCAGATGAAGCATGTGGAGGTTGATAGATTTTTCATCCAGAAAAAGTTTGATAAAAATATTTTGGAATTGCCAAATATTCGATCTGAAAATCAGTTGACAGACATTCTTACCAAAGCTGTGACAAGTCAGATTTTTAGGAGATTATTGGACAAGTTAGGAATGTATGACATCCATTTACTAACTTAAGGGGAGTATTGAGATAAATATATTTGATTAGCTAAATTATAGGTTTGTACAACTGATACAAAATATTGTATAATCAGAACTTGCTATATTTAGTCCCGATTTATTAGAGTAAAATACTATAAGATTTATATATACAAAAATAATATGAATAAAAATATTGAATGAATTCTATGTTTTTCAATTCTCCTATTAATTTTTTCTTTAAATAAAGTTTAGTTGCAAATTTATGAAAAATAAAATTACGTGTATGTTAGTACTTTGGACCACTCTAATTTATAACTTGTATGTTAGTACGTGTATGACGCAAAATAAATGTTTCTTTTATATAATTATAATTTGGGATAAATAAACATATTATGATACAATGGTATATATAATCTATAATTATATATAAAAAAGATTTTTTTAATAACAGTATAATTAGAGAAAAAAAATAATCATTATCATTTATATACTTAAAAATAATGAAAATATAAAAATAGATATATTTAAAGAATAAAAAATATTTTAATAGAAAATAATTATATAAAAATTTGGACACACAAACACTTTAATATATAATAAATTTGTTTTAAAATATTAAATCTAAGTTAGATCTATTCATAATGATTAGTGAAACATTTAATAATAGTTAATAATATATATTTTTATTAAATATTATTTTTTGTTTTTTAAATATATTTATTTTTTCTTTATAATTATATATATATATATATATATTTTTTTTACTTCTTAAATATATAAATTATAATAGCTATTTTTTTAATTATGTTTTATTTTTATTTTTTCAAAATGACAGTGTTAAAAAAATTCAACATATAATTATGGATAAAGTGAAAGAGATAAGAAGTTAAAAGATATTAAAGGAGGATAATTGGACATAAAAGAAATGATTAATGTTTGAGATGGGAAAGAAGTACAATTTAGAAAATGTCAGAAAGATTGATAGATAGGGTAGGGCAAAGATTTTGACGTCAAAATAAGTGTCGAGGGCAAAGCCAAAGATTTTGAATGAATTGGAAGTAAGGGCGTGTATGGTGAGGGGATGAAAAGAGGAACCCTCAAACCCCAAAACCAACCTATCAATCAAACACGTCCTTATCATTTCCTCCAAGACAAAGGAACCTCCTCTCCCAAACAAATCCCATTCTCCATCGCCCAATTTCCCCCCAACATCTATCTCACTCCCCTGTCTCATCTGTCACTGTGGGTCCCACTCACCATTACTCTCTTCTTCCTCTTTCATCCTCACCCACTCTTCTTTCTCTCTCCATAAAACCAAACACTTATTTTCTATAATCAAAATCCTTCTTCTTCTTCACCCTTCCAAAATTCATGTAGTGCAATAGCAACAAAACACAAGTGATGAGACAATAGCTTCAAGTTTCAGGACACACCAACATGTTCTCAAAACTTCATCCACACCACCAACAGCAACAACATCAACTACAACCTTTTCAATTCTCTCGGGAATGTCAAACATCCGAGGACGATGACAGCCGGAGTAGCGGTGGGGCCAATCTTTCGGCCCAGAAGCCCGTCTCCACAGGCGATGAGGCAACTATTGAAGTAGTGCGGCGGCCCAGGGGCCGCCCTCCCGGTTCCAAAAACAAGCCCAAGCCGCCTCTTATTATTACACGCGAGCCCGAGCCCGCCATGAGTCCATTCATTTTAGAAATCCCTGGTGGAAACGACGTCGTTGAGGCCCTAGCGCGGTTCAGCCGAAGAAAGAATACGGGCCTGTGTGTTCTTACCGGTTCCGGAACCGTCGCCAACGTCACTCTCCGCCAACCCGCTGTAGCTCCCGCCGGCACCGTAACCTTCCACGGCCGCTTCGACATCCTGTCCATGTCCGCCACCTTCCTCCTCCACGCCTCCTCGTCACCAGCCGCCTCCTCCACCTTTGCCGTCTCGCTGGCGGGACCGCAGGGTCAGATCGTCGGCGGACACGTCGCTGGAAGGCTGCTCGCTGCTGCGACGGTGTTCGTCATCGCCGCGTCGTTCAACAATCCCTCCTTTCACCGGCTATCTTCGGAGGAGGACGCGCAAAATAACTCCGCGTCAGGCGGCGGTGGCGGTGACTCGTCGCCGCCTGCCTCCGGTGGCGGTGCGGAGAGCGGACACGTTCCGGCGGAGTCGTGTATGTATAGCTGTCACCTCCCTTCGGATGTGATTTGGGCTCCGACGGCGAGACCACCTTTCTGATATTACATGAATGAATGAATGATCTTAATTCGTCTTTGTTCTATGAATTTTGTTTCGTTAATTATGGGGATTTTTTTTTCGCTCTTGTTTTCTTTCTTGAGTTGTTTATTCAGTTGTAATAGCTACTTATTTAGCTCTAGTTCTGAATAGAATACTCTGGTTTAGATTTTTTGAATAATGATGCTTAATGCGTGCATATTGTTTGATAGTTTTTTTTTTCTTTCGTTTTGTTTTCAGTTTTAGAATACTGCTGACATTAATGATATCGCCCGACAATGATGAGATTCTTACATGTTTTAATTTTCCAAACTTGTTAGGACTTCATCCTTGTTGATCCCTAGTTAATTACTCTATTTCGTTACTGATTTGTCATATAGTATAGTTTGATTGATCAATGACTGAATTCAATGGCTTGTTTATTGTTGTTGATATTCAACGACTGTATTATCTGAAAGGAGATTATTCTGGTTTGATTAGTATCTTACTAAACCCTGAACTCTAAATTGTGTAATTAATGATCTAGAGTTTCATTTTTTAGTATTTTTTGCTGATGGAGAGGCTAAAATATTGGAAATTGGTATAATCAATAACGTGGGGTTGATTAGTTGGCTTTGTGTTTAAAATATTACTTGAAGAAGATAAAGAAGTGTTTTTTAAAGAACTAAGAAATTTTAAAATAGTACGTGAAACGTCCAGAATGGAACTTTCTGGTGTGTATGGACCCCATTTGGATGGGTGGGAGCGTTGTATTGGTTTATTATAAGAATGGGGCTTAGAATTTGCATAGAGGGTTATGGCGTGGTTAAGGGGATAACAGGGTTTAGTTGCTTCGAAGACTGAGACTTGAATATGTATGTAAGTATGTGTGCAGTATTATTGTGAGTGCAGTGTAGCAGAGGTGTTATTGGAAGAAGATAGCGCAGTGTGTAGGTTGCAAGTTGGTGACAGGTGCTACTGTGCATAGCTTTCTTGATTTGGAAAAAGTGTGTGGCAGTGGAGAACGTGGGAAGTGTTGTGGTTGCCAGTTTCTAACATCAGCAGTAGTCACCTCTTGTTCCTTCTGCTTGGTGTGGTGTGTATGTGTAGTGTTGCGTTTGTGTTTCTGTGTCCATCCACTATGGATAAATCCCCTCCCTCGCTTTATTTATACGTCTCACTGCTTTATATCTCATCTTTTCTGTACTTCTTTTGTCTCTTTCTTCCTTCTATCTCCTTCTGGTTTTTCATCTTGAGAGAGAGAGAAAAAAGAAAAAAAGGTGAAAGCCAAGTGTAACTCGCAATATTCAACACTTGCTCCTCCGACTGTGCCTTTTCTTTATTGCATCATCGCGGTGGAAGCTTATTCTCAACGCTGATGGAACTCAAAATTCTCAAAATTATGACATCATTAGTGAGTTTGACGTGTGTATGACTGGGGTCTTGTATTGGAGATTGAGTTGAATTGATGGGGTCAGATTTTGTTTTGGTGCAGTTAATGGATATTTGCTGTTAATTTCACATACATCAAACAGATTTATCGCAGCAGAAGATTGGCTTGGGTTGTGTGTGGTTTGGAATTTGAACAGTGATGTATGGTGCATTGTGCGTCATGTCAATATTATACTTCTTTACATGTAAAGTCTTCTTGATGATGCCAATGTCTCGAGAATTCAAATCATCATAATGGTATGGTGGATCCATATGTTCTTCTTTTATGCCCCCATACTCTTATTAGGAAAATAACTATGATTTAGTGGCCACATCCATGGTTTAACATCATTTCTTGTGTTTTTGTGTTTTTGTTCATTTACTTTTACCTCTTTAGAATAACTTCCGTTTGAATGTAGGGTTTATTTGAAGTGGTTCCCATTTTCTTCCACAACTTGTTTTCAATGTAGTTTTAAAATTAGTTTTCAGTACAATCTTTAAAAGAAATTAAATAAACAAATTATTCTGTTTTTACTTCGAATTTGATTACTTATGTTTCAGACTTACATATATCTGGACATGCTTTTATGATGAAGTTTCTGCATCCATAATTAAACTAACTACATTGATTCAATCACTTTCTTTGAGTTAATATATTTTTTTCATATTGAGACAAGAATAAACTATCTTGTTGATAGTTTTGGATATTTTTTAGCAGTAAATATACATATTAATTATTGATATTATAATGACAAAAAAATCCATATACAAAGTGTCTATTTAACCTACAGTGCATGGGGTTTATTGCCATTTTCTAATATGAAAAAAAAAAAATCCCTGATAGACCTTAAGTACGTTGTAAAAATGGCCCCTACAATCTTGAACACTTGAGCCTCAACCATATGTAAAATTGTTTCCACATAACATAAGAAAAAGGACAAGAAAACAAAAGATGATAAGTATATTCTTCAACTTGACTGCACAATTTCTTATAAAAAAAATGACTCCATGAACATATAAACTTCCATATATGCAGCAAAATAATTCTCCTTGTGCACAGTTTGGGTTTCGTCAACACTGTCCATTAATATCCAACATATGTTTTTAATTGTGTTGATGATCATCTTATAATGCGAGTTAAATATTAATTAATTGCACCTTTAAAAATTATATTAATCGACCAACACCCGTAAACAAGAAAAGTATTAATTGATGTAGAATTGAAAGATATAAATATCAATTTTAGATATAATTAATATTGTATATTGTTAAAAGGAGATGCAAATCAATTTTTTTGTTATCTCTTTTTTCGAATAAAAAATAAATGTTATAATTTTATAAATGGGTTGATCTTAGTGATATAAATGGTGGGATTGGTGACTATACGGTAATTTTAATCATCAAGTAGATGTGTTTATAAATTTATAATAATAATAAATAAATAATTGTGTGTATATTATTCCTCTACACCAAAAAAACACCTCCCAATTATAATGGATTTTAACCCAACACAATGATCTAAAAATAATATCATCTTATTTTATAATATTTAAAGGTATATCATCAAATATTAAAAATTACAAAATTGTTTTAGTAGCAAAGATTGAAGGACGATAGATAAAAGAGATATGTTATGAAATTCCTTGCTAACAAAATTTAACATATTATTATCTATTAACATGTACTAATTTAAAAAATAAAATAGATGTTTAAACTGATTAAAAAAAAGTTAAGAAAAAAATCGCAATATTCTAAATGTTATATGATTGAAAGTTTTTCCGTTTAACAATCACTTTAAAAAGTCATATATAAAGTATTTATAATAATTAATAAACCAAAAAAAATATTATATTAACAATTAAAAAAAAAGTTTAGATATCAAAATATTTACTTTTTAATTAGTAACTTAAAATGGACAATTCCAAATATAACCATGATATTTTCTTAAAATAGTTATGCTGAAACTAATATATAGTTTTAATTTAATGAATTAAATATGAATATGAAATTATACATAATATTAAACATGATAACCTATTCTTATTTTAAGTGGTAAAAAAAAGTATGGCAAGAAAATTTAAACGAATTATTGTCTTTTGAGTTATTTAAATAAAGAATAATTTTTGGGTTATCCAGACGAAATATTGGAAATAAATGTTGGAAAAGATAAATATTTGAAGATTATTTTTTTTAATTTAAAATATAAAAATATAAGTATTTAATTGAAAATAATGAAATAAAAACTATACTATATCTAGCAATTTCTATTTATTAATTTCCTATAATTAAAGTTTGATAATAAAAATTAAGCATTAAAATGTCACATATATTTGAAAAATATTTTTTGTCATTCCAAATTTTATTGTTCTATTAAATATTTTCTATTATTACTGTATGTTATATATTTTTATATTTATTTGCTTGGCCTTTTTATATCAATTTTGTAACTGTTATAAATACAGATAATGTAAAAGTATATATTTTTTAAGTAGGTGGACAATATGTTCTATGCGCGTGTACAATTGATATTATTAAAAAAAATAAACTTGGTAATTTAACATTTAGATTTATTTATTATCCAAATTCTTGCACAATCCACCTTTATGTGAAGAAAACAATAAAAAGTAAATTTGTAATATAAAATTATATACCATTTTTTTCAGATACATCATTTAAGATTATATATATATATATATATATATATATATATATATATAATTATTTATTAATTCATCAAAATATATTTTAAAAAAAAAATCTTAAAATATTAAAATTTCAAAACGAACACTATTCTAAACATGAAAATTAATATTAATTATATTATTATAATAAATGTAAAATTGACGTACTCTCTTATTTAAATTAAATTTTAAAATAAAAAATAAACTAAATTTTCATATTCAACATATAAATAATAATAAGATATTTGAGAAAAAGATAAAAAAAAGTTAAAATTGTATTTTTACAATCTAATAATCTAATTTTATAATTTTGTATTAAATATTACATTCAAAATATTATTGTCAATTTTTTTAAAAGTTTTTGATAAATTTAAAAAATTAAAAATATATAAAATTTATCTTAAATAAAAAAATGATCAACGTAATTAAATAAATATAAATATATTTATCTAACATTCATATTTTTACAAAATTATAATATTAAATAGTTTTGAAAATTATATTAGTATATAGATGTGCATTTAAAAAAAAAATCCTTATCCATATATCTTCATCATCCCCATATCTCTCTATCTCTGACATTTATCACTGTTTTTTGTTGAAAAAATAGGCAAAGTCAAAGACTTTGAAGTATTTGTTAATTAGAGTAGGTGGGATCCTGGTCTGTTTTTGCTACGGCAAATATGTCAAATTTTCAAGCATTAGTTGGCCACTTATACGATTCCCAAAACCTATCAATCATTCTTGCATGTCTCCTTCTCCATTTTGCATTGACTTTCTTCCCCCACGTGCCACCCAATTATTTGCCACCTCCATATTTTTTCCACACCAGATTCTTAGTTTGCTTTATGCACAGTATATATTCTTTGCATTTAGATCACAAATGGCAACACAAACCAGAATTTTTTCTGCATTTACCAACCCACTTTACCCTTTCTTCTCCTCATTTTTACTCCTACTCTTTATGTGCCCTTCAAAGCTTTCAATCTTCCCCACCCAACCCATCTCAACATAAATAAATTTCACCATTTTCAACTATTCACATCATTTTAACCAATTTATTTTTTATTTAAGTGCTGAAATAAACAAAATGTTCACTATGCTTCATAGATCACAATATATGCATAAACATAATATTTTATTTGACTTAATTCTAAAGTTTTCTAAGGAAAATAATAAAATTTTAATGTTAAAAATAATATTTTACAATAAAAATTGAAAAAAAAAATAATATCAAACATAACTTCTAAATTAGATGTTAGTATAGAAATTTGCTCATTATATTGGTGGCTAAAGGTAGTGTGAAGTTGTTGTGGGTGATGATGACATTGGTGCTTATTAGAGCAAAAGAGACAAAAAAAAAAAAAAACAATGAAGGTTTTCTCTTGTGTCTGATAGTGATGTTTATGATGTATCCCTGTCCAATGTTCAATTTGATGATACGTGCGTATGGGCAGAAGCAAAATCCAATTAGGTTTGTTCCCTCCCCCACCATCAAGATAAAAACTTCAAATTTTATATTAAGTAAAAATAATTAAATTTGGTTGCAGACTTTCATCATTCAATTATTTAAGTTTATGTATCGATTCATTAATGTTAATTAATTTTAAATCAAAATTTAATATTAATAATTTATAAATATGATATTATATATATATATATATATATATTTTTTTTAATATTCCATAAGTTTTTTAATTTATATTGAAAGTGTATCCACTAATGATTTAACTAAAATTAAATTTATGTTTAATATTAAGCTTGGTTATTTATTATTAAAACATCTTTAATACGAGTAAGTTACAGAATTATTTTTTATCTTAAAAAATGTAAAGATATTTTTAAACATTTCATTCATTATTGATTTTATTAAGTTTTTTTAATAAATTTTTAAAACTCATTATCTTTTATTCTCTCTTTTCATATATTTTGATTTGCTTAATTTAATTGTTTAATAAAGTAATTATAAAGAATTAAATAATTTATCATGTTAAAATTTCTCTAATAAAAAATTACTTCAAAAAATTAATATTTCAAACATCAATTTTTATGGGTAATGGTCTTCATATAATATTTTGACAAATGAACCACGCCATTATAAGCATGTAATATATTTTTTAGTGTAAATATATAAAGAATAACAAATTTTCATACATTAAAACCTTTCTTTATGGCATTTGACTATACCTTAGAAGCTTACACGGATACTCTCATGTATTAAAAACTAAGTTTGATATGATTAGTGATAGGAAAAAGAAAGAGAGTAGTAGTTAAGGTTGATAAAAACATGTTTCAGGAGAAAACATCAATTGACAGCAACAACTTTTGATTAAGGAAGATTTTATAATTAAGCTTTGTCCATTTGTGAGTGATTTATTACTCATAACTTTCAAACAAAAAGGTTAACGCTTAATGACCCGCAATGTTCGGTGTCAGTGAGTAACCACACTCTTCTTCTTTTATTATTTACCTAATGCTATTAATTATGCAAATCAAGAGTGGTTTCTTTCTTAATAACAACGTTAATTGACACATTCGCATAGCCTTACTTTCTATTTTGAATGTGACAATGCTTCTCTTGTGTTCAAATTTTGTGTAGTTAAATAGTAGCACTTCAACCTATAGTGGAGAGTTTTTCTTTATATATATATATATTTTGTTCTTTTCAACCTTTTATAAAAATTAAACTTATTGTGATCACCATGTTGATGTGTCATGTTCGCGTATAGTAGAGGATTATTTGACATTGATACAAAGTATATAACTTCAAATTTTGCATCATAGCAAATTTATAATGTTGGAAACAACTCTGTTTAACTAGAAAAATATATAGAAGCTAATTTAGGGTTTTAGGGAAGAGATATTGGTCACTTTACATAAGAGAGATATTCGTGCTAAAGCTTCTTCTATTAATATACATAATTTTAAACTATGTTACAAATAAAACTATTATTTTTATATTTTACAATATTCTTCGTATTTTGTTATTTTCTCTCTAAACTTTTAGACCTTAGATTAAGTTTAATTAACTTTGAATTTCTGTACTAATACTACTACATAAATAAAATTATATTTATCTATTTATTTTAATATATTTTATTATAGAAAATAAAAATTGTTTTTAGAAAAAAATATTACTATTATACAACCTTTTAAAATGTATTAATTCTTATATAGACGTTTAATTTTAAAGAGTTGTTTTTTGTTTCTCTTTTATTTTTTTAAGAAGTCGGGGAAAGAATATAAAGAATGACAAATTAAATTGGGTCCAACGACATCAACCATGAACAAATGATGATTTATGTTTTGTTGTTCAACTTAATGAGTTAACAAAAGACACTGTTAGAAAGTTTTTATTTGAACTAAATTATTAATATATTCTAGATTTTTGAATAAATTATCTAGTTAAATTAATTTTTTAAAATAAAAAATTTAAACTTTTTTATTTATTTGGCAAGATAGATTAAGGTGTATAGTTATTTTTAAGCTGATGGACTAGTTGGATGAAGTCGTTTAAACAGTTAAACATTTTTTTTGAAAGATTTTATACAATTATCTCTAACTAAAAATTATATATATATAAAAAAAGAATATTTACGTAGCAAGTGAAAGTACGAATTATTAATAAAATATACGGAAAGTAAGAAGTTAAATATTATTTGATTTAAAAAATATATTTTAATACTATATGTAGTTATATAAATTTTGAGTGCATATATAGTTAAGAATAAGTGATTAGGGGAAATGGATAGGTGTAGTTATGAACTTATGATAATGATATAGTGATGAGAGCATTGAGTTGGGACACTTTCTCTCATCAATTATTTGAGGCTAAAAAATGTAATACAATAATGGGAATGCTATAAAATGGGTAACCCAGGAAGGGAAAAGGACACAAAGGGACAAACTGCAGGTCCTGTCTGTCTCTGTGGATTAGTGACACTGTCCTCTCAAAATACATTAGACATCATCCATTTCAGCTTTTCCACTTTTGCACCCTTTCTAGGGCAACTTGACAAATGGGCTCCACATTATCCCTCACTAATTAAGCTTTGTGTTTTCTTTAAGACTCAGAAAAAAAATTAATAAAATTATGAAGAGATGTAAAAAAATTAAATAAAAGTTAGAAAGTATTTAAAGTGAAATAAATAAATAAAATAATTATTTTGAATTAATATAATAGTTTTTATTACTGATTATTATGTTCTACTTTTTAAAACACATCTATAAAAATTTTAATTTTCTTAAGTCTTATATAATTTATATATATATATATATATATATATATATTAAAAATAATATATTAAGGTTAAATCTATCTTAACAAGTTTTATTTGATTTAGTGTACTGTCACATTATTCATAAATATTTAATTTTGCATGTTTTTGAAATGTCCAATTTTTGAAATGAAAATATGTGTGAAAAATTCCATAACGATTAAAAATATAACTATCTTATAATATAATAAAATGTACATTTCAACTTATAAAATCATTTTTTCATTTACCAACTTTTCCCGACTTTCGGGCCATATGCACAAGGAAAACAACCTATACAATTTTAATCTCATTATGTATATATATAAACTTAACATAGCTCCCATATTTTTTTTTCTTTTCCGAGTCATCGTTTACTCAATGAAAAGGAAAACATCAAAAGTGTATAAAGTCATAAGATGGGCGCATCCCAAGACAAAAAAAAAAACTCAAAGCAATACTCTAATAATTTATTATTCTAATTTTAAAGAACTTTTAAATTATAATTACCAGTCTAAAAGTCTATAACATCAAGAATATACAGATTAATGTAACTTTTTAAAAAACATCAAAATTGCTCTCACAAAAGTTAAATATATTCGAATTATGATAGATCTTCCGTCTAACTTTTCTGAGCATTCCGTATCTGTTTTACCCTCGTAAGAAAAACACATTAAATGACATAAATCAGGAGCTCTTTTAATCGAAGTAAGGAAAATATTAGTTAGAAACTCCCAAAAATATTAAAGCTTAACCTCCATTTACGTTTTCTTGAAATATAAGTTGTTCGGTTCTTTAGTGCTGTTCAATCAACCAAAAGATAATTATATTTTTCTTCTTCATGCTAAACCAATTCTTTAAAGCTCATCAAGTATCATTCAACCAAAGGATATAGAGGCTAGTGTGCGGTTTTGGATGAGCCTTAACTTAATTATCAATGAAAATGAGTGTAAAAGTTTTTATAACGGCTTAAGTTACTTTATCAATTCTAAATCTAGAATTAATCTATTGATGTAAAATAAAGAATGCAAAAACTTACAAATAAGCAGGCTAAGTGTTGGTTACATAGTATTTTGTTACTCAGTATTTCAAATGTTTTGATTTACAAAAGAAATATATGTATATTTTTGGATTATTCAACAGAAAAACATCAGTGTGATGTATATCTACGTATAATCAATCATTTAGGAGTTTTAGTGAGAAAGAGCGCTGCCTAGCCTACAACAACAACACAGCTTCCATATATTATTAGTTACTGTTCAGGGCCTCCCAACCTTGGTATAATAACTTGACTTAATTTCCATCATTAAAATGGTTGGTGGAACCTGCTTTCTGTACAGAGTTAGTCTCCCTAAAACTACTGGTTACTCCAACTACCTGTACCTATCTCCCTTTTCCTATGCTCTATATTTGTGTCAGGATGAAAATCACAAACACCACCACCATTCCTTTTACTATCTACTAGCCTGCTCCTGTACAAAACACCCTCTATCTCCACCTTTGAACCCGGGCAGGTGGTTGGAACCCAGTTGAATGTAGCAAAACTGAATCATGTGGGTCTATATCAGAAGAGGAAAAATATCTAGAGTGGGGAGAAGATGACAATGCAGGGGAAATGTTGGAATCTGAATTTCTCAACATGCCACCTGAACCGCGTCCCAAATCACCAAAAATATAATCAGCAAAGTCCTCGGTACTGGTTGAATCACTCGTGCTGTCTGTACTGCAAGAACCTTCATCAGAAGTGCTGCTAATCAGGGATGAATTATCACTTGATGAATCTTCTTCCAAAATCCTTCTCTGGTGGAGAAACTTTGAATAGATAGCATCTAAGGAGGATGAACCATCTGCAGAAGTCAAATTAACTCCAGCACCAGAAACTGTAGATAGTCTTCTCTTTATGACAGTTTTTCCATTGCGTTTCCATTTTGAATCTGAAGATACTATACTGTTTCTGATTAACCTTGGGGCCCTAGGTGAGCACCTACCAGGAGGTACAGTCAGAGAAGCGTGAGATAATATAATTAAAGAAACCTAAGACAGAAGTAAGATATCACCCACAAAATAAATCCATAAGAAGAAGCGGACCTTGCATAAAAAAGCATGTATGCTCCTTTTGCCAAGACGCTTTGTAATTCAACAGGTGTCACCTGCAAGACAAGTACAACAGATGATTAAATGATTTCTAATAGATCAAATAGACTTCCTATGTATCTTGAATCCACAAACACGGTGCAAGTAAAACATTAGCATCCTTCTGTGTAGTTGTCCAAACTTACTACCTAGTGAATGATTTAACTTATGATGCAGTTAACTGATACAATCTTACTACAATACACTTATTTTAGAAATCGTAGATACTATGCGGGCAAGACACATATTTAAAAATATATAAAAACTCATAAAACATAATAAATATATAATTGCAATTATGCAAATCTAAATTAAGACCACATTTCTTAAATATTGCCAAGATCAAATTATATACAACATTATCATCAGAAATTACTTTCAATTATTCATATATAGGAATAACAATATCGATCTCAATTTTTTTTTTAAATAATTTCTAAAAAAAATTCCTTTGTTGGTTTATGAAGAAACAATATTTATATGCTTCTATATTACACATACTAATATTTCTTATAGTTTTATTGGATATAAATGTTTTAAAAACTTAGACTCGTCACCAGTACATATCAAATATGTGAAACAAATCAAAGTATTGATGCTTCATAGATTTTGATACTTCATGTATAGGTGAAGTATTCTATAGTCTAGGACATGAATATTAGATGCAAAATTGAAGTATTGATGCTTCGTAGCACTTAACTTATTATTACTAAGCCTTATATGAAATCTATGTAAATGGGTGTTAACATTGCCACATGTCAGGTTTTGCAGAACTCCTCATTGCATAATTAACTTCAGTTGACTTGATTGTTCTAACTGCTCATGTCAATTTGAATTAATTAACAGACGATGTAAAACCTTCACTTAAGCTTAAACTCTCCACATAGACTAAAATTGCACCTTTGTAAATTGATGTTTCACCCACAGAGTGAGAGCACTAATTTGAAAGACAAGTTCATCCTATAATTTAGTTTTAAATCTGAAGGAAAGGAAAGAAAAAGTTTTGGCAGGAAATTGGCTACGAAATGTTTCTTCATGGACCTCTCTGCCAGTCTTCATCTTATGTCACCCATCCATGTCTTGGATCAATTTAGTTTCAGGATAATTTTTTTATTTGCAGCTTTATGAAAGAGCATATAAAATTATTTCCCGAGAGTTAATATTTTCCCAAACAGAGCCAGAAATCTGATTTGCGTGTTGACATACTGAAGTCAGAAGTAGCTCTGAAGAAATGGTTTTACAAAACAAATTTGTTTGGGAAGCTTTCGTTCAGGACTCAGTTTAGGCTGGCTCCCTGGCCTCCTATCATTCATTGGGGCCCTGTTCAGGCCGGCACACTACATAATATTATTATTCAAAGTTCTATTGTAACATGCTATGGTAAAAGTGTTTTGTTTTGAATATAAATAATAGAATTACTGATTATGAAGTCTCAAGTTGTTTTTAAACAGATCATATAAATCCATTAAGATTATATGCACTTGAAACTTTATTCAATTTTTGCTTATAACAAACTACAAATGGCCATTTTAGCTTATTATGATAACCATATGTAAGGAAAAGGATGAATGCACAGTATATATAAGAATCAAAGAAATCTTCCCTCAAGATATTAAAATAAATGGAAACTTAGACATACCACACTATCATCAACCTTGAACCACCTGCTTTGGAAATTCTTCACATAACATACATAGTGACCCGAAAAAGTAGCATTCATTATATCCAGGTGAACAACTACCCCATATAGCCTGTATATAGCCAAATCACTAGTCCCACTCATGAAAGGTGCCAAGTCAAGTATTTCAGGAAACTGGATAGGTTTATTGAGCTTCCCAAATTTTCCTGACTGCAACACAGAACAAATAGTTAATTTTCATACAAGATGGATAATAAAACCTTATCCTTAAATTTAACAAAAATACCTGAAATCTCTTCAATGCAATTGTAAGAACATTAGGTGCCTCCAAAATTGTCATTTTCTTCTTGGCCTTCTCGTAAGACTTACACCTGCTTAACGTAGAAAAGTACAAACTATTTTAATTACAGAAACTTGGAAAGAAAAAAAAAAAAAAAGACGTAAACAATAGTATACTCCAAACAGTGTGACAAAGATGACCACACTTAACACATAAAAAAGAGAATCAAGAAACCATGATTCTCTTTTGGGCAACGAATCCTGAACATGATGATGGCAATAAAATACCACTATGTGCTCATTTGATTAGACAGGTCCACTAACAAATTAATGGCACAAAAGCTAAACTTTATTTTTTTGTGGGTGTAAATCTGTAGCACGATCATCATGTGAGGTTTTTGAGTGCATTACTAATCTAAAAAAATAAAGACAATCATTAAATAACTAAACTAGGAAAAAAAGAAGGATTAAAACAAAAACAAAAGCAATGAAAATTCATAATTTAATTGGTTAGCACTATTCAATTTTCCCAACAAAGGCTTTGCACGCCATTCTAAATCTCAGCAGAAGTTTAGCATAACACATGCCACGTACTGAAAATCTTGCAGCTTTTACATCTCTCAAATACTATTATGAGGTTATACAAATCAATTTCTCTTATTTGTTAAAAAATTATATTTTCTTTCATATTTCATTAGCATCCATGTAGTTTATAGAAGGTAGTACAAAGACAACAAACTCATCCAAAAGGGGTAAAACATTGAGAAAAATGAGTTTTATTTTCAGGTGAAACTCTAATCTTAACTCGTCAAACATGTTATGTCTTCAAACCTCTATTGTAGCTTCCTGCTCAGGGTTACAGATCATAAGTATGAAATATTTTTTCATACAATTTAATTTCTAAACTGCAATATGCGATTCAAAATTACGCTCACACATTAACTTGAGAGATGTTTAGAAGTTTGTTCTTCCAAAACCCGGCTTAATTTTCATTTAAACCAACCCTGAAATCGCTCAATTCCCCAACTCTTATGAAAATACTATTTATAGTTTCCAAAGAGCTACAGATCATGTCCTTCATCACTATGGGAGATTAAACAAACACCCTTACACAACAATGCCTTGCTATTATCTGTAAAAAATATTCCAATTCCATTACCTCTAATTTTCCATGAAAATAATAAGTTAAAAGAGTAACAAATATCACCTAACTTCAAAATGGTATGCACCAACATATTCATTGGCCTAATCAGTTATATGATATTGCAAGAAACAGTAAGAACTGATAATATATGAAAGTTTTCATGAGGCTTCTCTCTTGGATCAACCAACCTGACACAGTGGTACTTGTTTTCTCCATCCAGAGTCTCAACGATTGTAAACTGTCGAAGGGCATCCTCCAGGGTTGCTATCTCCCCATCTATCTCAACAGTAAGATCCATCATCCTTTCTTGACGCTCAGACTTCGCTCCACATTTAATGCATTTTATCTGCCAATATATTATCAGCTTTATGTCATTGTGAATCTTTCTTTCATCAGTGGATGATAGCAAGAATAATAGCATTATGTATTTCGTAACCAACCCAACACTGTATTACACCTATAATTAGGGAAAGTACAAATACAGCTACAGATTGCATTTTTTTTTCAGATTAAAATAAGTTTACCTTTGATTGAAGATAACCTCCAAAAGTTAGGCCCATTAAATTGGTTTCCTCTTTTAATGGGTCTGATGTGTTATCCCCAGAATCCATAAGGCAAACGGATTGCATTGTCTCAACAGCAAGCCTGTCAAATATTACAAGACTCATTAAATTGTAGTGAAATATATAACAAGATTTATGAAATATCAAATTACACTGATTCAATAATGTAAATAACACCTTAGAAACTCGTGTGCATCTTCTTCTCTTCCATTACCAAGTTGGCTCCCAACATTCTGTAGTTGAGAGAGTATGCCCACAGGTGAGATGGAAGATTTTGTGTCTTTTGACTTCAAAATCAAACTTTCAAACTCACAGGTGAAACACCATTTTTTATTTGCACCTGGAATTACATTAGATATTAACCCCAGGAACAGTTACGCAGTATTCAAGTTCGTGATGATTAAAATTGTAATTGCATGCGTACATGATTTAGAATGAAGTCCTTGAAGTAAATAAGCAGTCAGGGGTGGTGTAAAAGCCAAGCACTGGAGAACAGCATTAGCATAACAGCTGCAAAATGACAGTAAAATTAAGAAGAAAAAAATTAAATCCTATGGCTACAAGAGGCAAGAGGTAGATTCTATAGGAAAACGCAAAAACCTAACAGTTTACAACAATCAATTACCAATATGGAAAGAAATAACTTAATGTAATCACACTAATAAATTATTTCATAAAAATAACATAAATCAGTACACAGTAATTATCAATCACAGAATTTCAAATTACCTGTTTCCACAGTTTACAAGACCAAATGGTTCAATCAATTACCACCAATATGGAAAGGAACAACATAATGCAACCACTCCATTATATTATTTCATAAAAATAAAATAAACCAGTACAGACTAATTATCATAAACAAATAATTTCAATTTACCTGTTTCCACAGTTTGTAAGACCAAATGGTTGCAACTCCACCCTGTTCCAGTTAAAAAGCTTGACAAAAAAATCATATGGAAAGTGACCCTGCAACATCTATTAATAGACAAAGTAAGAGACTGACTCCTATTGGCACAGAAGAATATAAAAAGACTTGTTCAATAGTAACCTTGTCACTGTATTTTCCAGTAATATCACTCCCACCAGCTAATGGAAAGGGTTTAGACAACTTTGATCCTCCATACTGATCAGAATTTTTCAGAACATATGTTTTCAGGTCAGAATTTGGAGAGCTAACAACCTGAGATGAAGTAACAGTGCCAGATTGGATGCCATTATTTCCACATTTTGTCCTATAATGTGAATGCTCTTCAGTTCTAGTTCTAGAAACTAACTTAGTATCAGCAAAGGCACGTGGCAGACCTCTACTTTCAGCTGATTCCAAGGTGCTACTAGGGTTGATAACATGATTTGATACCTTAGAACCAACTGTTTGCAAATTATGTATGCTCACAGCATCAGCACAATCTGAAGAATCTACAACATTTTTCTCTGAAGATTCTGATCCTACATGTGGCATGTTGTTCTCAACTGACTTTGGAGGAGAATCACTCTGGGATGGAAGAGGGTTGCTATTAGTGTCATCTTTTATCCTCATTGAATCAAGTGTTTTATTCCAGAATTCAGAAGACACTTTAGAAGGCTCAATTGTTGTCCCTTTCCGCATCCGTAAACCAGAACGACTATCTGATGTGAGTTTACTCTCTTCTTTTCCGTGACCATGTCTAACTTGCATTGCTGGATAACCATCTACTGAATCAACCAAACTAACAAACTTAGGTGATAATGGAATGGATTCACCAATGCTGTTATGACTTGAAGTGGTATCAGATATGTCATGGGTGCGGTCTACAAAAATATGTTCCCCGGATCTCTCATGCTCATTTGAGATGATACTCTCACAAACAGAAGAATAATCAGATGATTCACTAGCACCCGTGGAAGCTGAGAATCCAGAGAATGAATTACTAGATAATTCAGAATTAGAGCCTGTAAGATTTCCCTCTTGAAGAGACTCAACTTGTGCACTATAATCCTTTGCACGTGAAATATCAGAACAGCTTCTATCAGATGATGTTACATACTCCGTGCTTTCAGTCTGAGGACTCTGTTCAGGGATCCCATGGTAGTCTGGCTCTGCTACCTTCTTTCCAATATCACTTACCAAATCATCAGTCTGGAAAGTTGGGATGGGAGGATGGCATTCATCTTTGTGACCTCGGCGCCAATGAACAATTTGGCACTTTCCAGAACTAAAACACATGAAAAGAAAGCTAAGCAATATTAACAAATAAAATTTCTTAAAAATTACAGAGGCAAAAATATGCAGATGAGAAACGATGAGTCAGAAACTCTGTAACATAGATTGGACCGTCATGTCAGTTAAATCACTCAACAAACTGTGCAAGAACACAAAATCCAGGCACCTAAAGAAGCTCTTTAGAAAAGTGGGGCCATCAATGCAGAATTACCAGCTATAAATTTTCATCCTCAATACTTGAGAAAAAATCTTATATATACATGTTTGGTTTCGCATATACTAAGGACTTACAATTTACTTGTTATTTCTAAAAGCTACAAAGAGTAGCTCCTCCTTTATAGGGGGGTGAGACGTGAAGTGCGTATATTTCAGATTGGACACCAAACACATAAAATAGCATTTTATTTTTCACAAGGAAAGAGTCTCAAAGTTCTGATTTAGGCTCATACCAATACCAAAACTTAGACGATTCTTTATTTTCACAGGCAATAACCTTAATTTTGTAGACAGCAACAACCAACAGATATCGTGATCGTCAACAGATCTCGTGATCGTTGATCATGTTCAAGTATGAAACCACAGAATTTGCATGTTTCTCCTTTGCGGCTTACAAGCAAACTTAGCATCTCATAGGCCACATGCCCAACACAGAACCCACTCCACAAAAACAACACTTACCGACCAATAAATGAATGGCAAACACCGCTAAGTTAACAAATAACAGCACAAAAACCAATAGCCCCAAAAACATCTATATTCAGCACACAGCAGTAACAAAAGTATTTAAAACCAAAAAGAGACATAAGTTAGTTTTTCTTCTCCCTTCTTTTTGCATAATAGGAGAACCTAAATTTGAGACTATCATCTCGTGATCCTAATGGCTTATTAGCTACATGCTCACCTAATAGAAAGAGATAAATTAAACAACACAGTGTAGAAAAAATAGGTAGCAAAGAGAAAAATGAAAAAAATAAGTAAAACTAAAAGTATAGAAGAAATTGAAATCGAGAGCGTACCAGTAGTGAACCGCTTTGCACCTCGCACACCGTGTAGTGGTGGGACAGAAACACACGGCACATATTTTGTTCTTTGGGACCGAAACCACGCTGTGTTGGTAATACGAAGCCTCAGTCTCCGCTCTAACGGACTCCTCCTCGGCGAGAACAAGGAGCCGCTTGATCTCCTCAGCCCTGGCCTCCGCGCGCCGCCAGCGGCGACGGATCAAGAAGCCGATCGCCGGCAAGACGACACAGACCACCGCGACGAGGACCAGGCTCCAAAACCCTAGATCGATGGTGACACGCATTTATCCAGCGAAGACGATGGAACGCGCCGCGGGGGCGCGTGGACGGCAGCCGAGCGAGCGATCGCGATAGGGGTTTCTCTCTGGTTGTGCGATGACTGAAAAGCGGGTGCAGTCAGCGGGGAAAAGCGAGCTTCGAAGTGGGAGAGGAGGCATAAGTAGCTCCAAAACGCAGAGTGAAGGTTGGTGACTTGCCACGCGGGAGTGTGTGGAATTGGAATTTAAACAGAAGGGGAAGAAGATGATGAAAGTGCGTTTCGAATTACGGTGGAAGAAGAAAGAATCGGAAATTGTTCCTTTTCTGCTGCGAAGATGGATGAATTACGAAAAAGGCATTTTACCTTATTAGGAATGGGAGAAGAGAGAGATAAATGAAGGTGGTAATAAAATAATGTATAATTATTAATTAATTATAATTGTTAAGATAGGTTGTTACGGAATTTAAGAAATTGATGGTCGAGGGAAAGGAATTTTGGAAACTGTTAAATTGAATGCATCCTATATTCCTTTCTCAAATATTCCCATCCACAATGATTATGATAAATTCTTCTAAAAAAATAAATTAGAATCTAACAAATCCCGTACTTGATTTAATAGAACATATTTAATATTCTTTCATTATAAGATGTTCACAGATTTTTACATTAAATATAATTAATATATGTTTAAACAAATTTTAATAAAAATTATAATTAATTTATACATAAATCAAAATAAAATTATAAATTAATTTCTTCTATTTTTTTATTTTTTATTTAAAAATGTTTATTGAAAAAGTTATATAAATGTTTTTATTTTGTCATGAAAGTCACTTGTAAGTTTAAAGCTATATTACGATATTATTTCATTATTTTTGTTTGAGATAGGAATATCTACAAATAAAATTAAATCCATAAATATTAAGAAATGTATAAAAATTTGTAATAACCTATAATCAGCATAAAGTGTTGTTTTTGGTAATAATCAATACACAAGGTAAAAGGTAAAAGACTTCTGATTGAGCCAAAATTTAAAATGCTTAATTTTTTTTTTTCTAAACTTAGAAATGTTAGACAATTTTGGACAAAAAAATCCATGTTTTCATGATATGGAGTTTTTCTCAAAACAAGATCCTGTCTATATTATAAAATATATTTTTACATTTCCTAAATGACACATTATATCCTTTGTTATAAAAATTTATATATAACAATATATTTAGAAATACAAAAAATACCTACTTTCTTACAAAAAAACAAAAATTTAACCGACACTATTATTTCTATCTTATAAACCAGCTTCCTATAAACTTATTTTCAGTAACCATTTGATACAGGAAGAGTATAAGATTTAATAATCAATTATTCAAAATAAACTTCAATGTTACTTACCTAACACTGGCAAGAAAAAACACGATAAGTTGGTCTTGTATAAAAGTCGTGAGTAGTGTCTTATTAAATTTTGTTTTGTAGAATTTGGAGTCTCATCGTTCTTCAAAAGTCTAAACCACGTGAAAATACCTGAAGAAAAAAACAGAGACACGATAATATGTCGATGACAATGGAAGGGAAAACGAAAAAGAGTGTATATATTATTTTAACACAAACAACAAAACAACATAAAAAATTCACATTGCGAGTTTTATAAAATAAACTACCCATAACTAATATATCTCATATACTTAATCATTCATTTCATTAGTTTTTCCCCTCTTTAACCTTTTTTTTATGTGTATTTAAGTTCTTAACTAGTTTGCTTGATTCTTGAAACTTTTTTTTTTAAACCTGAAACTTATTTATGGGATTCAATTTTAATAATTTGATAAAGAATTGGTAAATTAAAATGTATTTGAAATATAAAATCTAAAACTAGAAGAAAGTGTTGTGTATATGTTTTTTCTACCTAAATCGATGGACATTTTATTCTTCGAATTTGCTAGCAATTATAGTAATTATTATCGTTTGTTAGCATAATTAATATTATTATTACTTTATACATTTTTGTAATGCTTAAATGTTATTGTTAGAGTAATTTTAATGTTTTCCATCTATGGATGTTTTATATATTGAATCAAATAATGAGGAAAAAATTATTACCAAATGGTGAAAATATTAAATAGCATTAGATATTAAATTAAAATAATTTAAAAGTGGCAAGTAACGACAATTATAATAATTAATTTAGACTATTACCTATGTAGTCATAGACTTTTTAAAGACAAAGTCGTAAAAATATGATTTTATTCAATTACAAAATTATTTATATAATTATTAGTAAAATAGTATATATACTTTTATATATAATTATAAAATATTTGTATTATTATTATATATATATATATATATATTCAATTATTTTAAGTTAAATTAATAAAATAATATCATATTAAAAAATAAAAAATATATAAAATTAGTTTTTTTATAATTATTTTTGTTTTTATGATATCTCATTAAAATAATATATATATATATATATATATAATATAAATAATCATTTATTTAAATAAGAATAATTTTATAAAATAGCATTATTTTTTATTTTTTTTCACACATAAAACCTCGATCGTAAAATGACATTTTACTTTTCTATTTTTTTAGTAGTGACTTTAGAGACCTTTCTGAAAAACCTTAAGAGAATGTTAAGCTAAAATTTTATTCTCATATATTTTTAATTTTTTTTAATAATATTGAAAGTCATAATAAGATTTTATTTATTTATTATTTTAAAAAATTAAAAAATTATTTAATAATGATTTGATTAAAATAATTTTTAAGTTGCTTTTTTTATTAATTAAAAATCAGAACTAATAAAATATGTTTTATTTTTTTATTTTCAATAATACATATTAATTTTTTATAAAAAATTACATTAAATTATTACTTTTTATTAATATAAAATTATTGTTTAACTTTTTAAAATAATTTTTTTAAAGTGAATCTTTTTCAATATTTTTAAAAACTAAAAAACAAAATCAGATAATGCTAAAATTTCATAAATTTTGTTACTTAGCGAATCAGGCAAGACAATGGGTGCGTAAGGGAGTGGTGAGAGAATTTATTTTGGTGCAAAAGAAATAGTCTCGTTAAGGTCTGGATATACCACTTGAGCCCATTAACAAAAGGCCCAATGAAAAGTCCGTTGGACATATCAAACCCTACAATCTGCTCTACTATAAAACAAAATGCAAAGCGCACTTTTAAAGACTGCTAGCTCCTTCAACCCCAAGCCGAGCAGAGTGAGAGGAAAACCCTAGGTAAGCAACGATGCCTGCTGGTCACGGTTTGAGATCTCGCACCAGAGATTCTTTCTCTCGTCCCTTCAGGAAGAAGGGTACCATCGCCCTCACCACTTATCTCCGAACTTACCGCATCGGTGATTACGTGGACATCAAGGTTAACGGCGCTGTGCATAAGGGAATGCCTCACAAGTTCTACCATGGTCGCACCGGTCGCGTCTGGAACGTCACCAAGCGCGCCATTGGTGTCGAGGTTAACAAACAGGTATAATGATATCCCTTAAACCCTAATACCGTACTTTTTTTCTGCTTCTGAATCGGTTCTATCGTGTATTTATTTTTTATGTTATCGTTCCCAATGTTATTTCTGTGCTTTTGGTTGTTGATTTATGTTTAGTTTAGAGGTTCATATGTGTGTTCTCCAATCAATGCTGTGCCTTCAAGCGCATTATGATTACTCTATTGATGTATTATACTGTTGTTTATTGATTAGCTTTTCCCTGGTAACTAAATTTAGTTTCAAGGTTTTATTCAAATTCATGTTTATGTCGTGTGTGTCTGCCTTAAAATAGAGAATTTCGTGCTAAATAATTATTATGTGATATGCAGGTTGGAAACCGAATTATTAGAAAGAGGATTCACGTGCGTGTGGAGCATGTGATGCCTTCAAGGTGCACAGAGGAGTTCCGTTTGAGAAAGATCAAGAATGATAAACTCAAGGCGGATGCTAAGGCAAATGGTGTGAAAATTAGCACCAAGAGACAACCTGAGGGTCCTAAACCTGGTTTCATGGTTGAAGGAGCTACATTGGAGACCGTCACACCCATTCCTTATGACGTTGTCAATGACCTTAAAGGAGGATATTAGTTTTTTTGCTGTTTGTTTGACTAGTCTTCTTTCGATTTTAGTTTACCCGTTGTAAGGCTAAGGCTACTTTGTGAACAATTTTGTTTGTTTATTTCTCTAAATACAATTATATGGTCTGTTTTCTTCGGTATTTAATGTCATTTAGTTTTTTTTTTCTATCAGGTGATGTGCGAATAATGTTTTTAATGGTTATGAATGTGGCCTGGGTTGGCATTTGTTCTTGGCAATGGTTGTGTTTTATTTGATAGTGTAGAGGATTTGAGATTGTGGTTTGTTGAGTTGTTTTGCTTAAATCTTAATTCTATGATTTGTTTTCAGGAACTCCAATCCCATCTCCCAGAATAAGCCTCGTATAAATAGACCACTTGATCTTAAGTTCTAGTAGTAAATCAAACCTAGCTCACATGGTTAATGAGTAGTTCTCTTGTAACCCCGAACCTAAATTCCAATTACAGCACAACAATGGATGTGTTGACAACATTAACTGTAGACAAGCCAGTGGTGATCTTCAGCAAGAGCACCTGTTGGATGAGCCACACTGTGGAGCCTCTGGTAGGCAGCTTTGGTGCTCACCCTGTAGTTATTGAGGGTGACAAAATATAAAGTGGCTAACAAGTAGAGAGCACTGGCCCAGCTAGTTTGCCTCCCCAGTGCCTGCAGTATTCATAGGTGGTACTGGTGAAGTCATTAAATTCGATGTTCGAACCAAGCTTACCACCCTATTGCATCCCGGGGCTAAAGACATTTATCTGTAGTATAACCACATAGATACATGCTTGCAAAGTCACATGATGAAATAAGAGCTTCTAATTAGTTTTCTATAAGCAATTAGAACTAGCTTGGAGACGGTTTAGTATTGAGAGTCTTCTATTTATAGCCATGTTCTTGTTCTATTCTCCATTTTATTTTTTCTTGTCTTTTGTTGAGCAGAACAGCACTAGTCTTTCTTTCGTATATTGTAAACCAGGCTCATGACGAGGCCAAGTCATACTTTAATTCTCACCTATTAATAATTCCATTTTGAGTTCTGTGTACAGATGTTTGTGAATGAAATTAGTGATAAAAAACCTAGTTAGATATATTATATCAAATTTAGAGATGCTAGCTAGGCAATTAGAGAATATTTTTGAAATGGGGAAATAGTTGATTCAATTCGTGAACTAATTGACTCAATTTTACAGAAGCAGTCAAAGTAAGAATTGTAAAATTTATATATTAAAATAATATAATTTTTATGAGATAAGAATTGTAAAATTTATTTATTAAAAATAATATAATGTTTATAATATTTTATCTCGATCAATTTTTTTTTGTCAATATTATTAGATAGCTTGATATTATGTGAAAAATAAAAAAAATTATTGGTTCATTAACACCAGACAGATGGGGTTCATGTCTTGTAAAATTGAGTTTATCAAATGCGGTTTGGATGATATAATGGAAGTCTTTTATGTTTTGGTCTATCCCGATAGGGAGGGTTAGTCTGTTATAGTTATATCATATTGTAGATTTTCGTCAAAAGTGAATTGTTGGGTTGATTCATCATATTTCTTATTTTATTTTATTATTTCTAAATTAAATTTTTTAATAAATTTAATAATAAAATTATCATGATAAATAATTCAATATATATATATATATATTTTTTTTTTCTTTTATAACAATTAAATTAAGATAAAATTTAAATAATAATAAATACATATATGTAACACTAAAAATTTATTAAATCTTTATTTTTATATTGAAAAGTTTAAACATTTAAATAAAAATTATATTATATTTATTTATTTGATAAAATTTTATTGATGATATCAACCAGATACAGGTAAGTTTACTAATTGAACAATTGATGAGTCATTATATTCTCATATTTTCTTATCTTTTTGTACTTATTTTAATTAGTATTTTAGGTTTAATTGTCTGTTATTAGTGAATTTTTATTAATTGAGCTTCATTGCGCAGTAATTCAGAATTTTATTAACTTGAATCTATTTGATCTAATTTTTGCTCATTATTATTTTCATAACAGTTTAAAACAATTTTGGACTTAGAAGATTGGATCAGATGCTATGCCAACTATCCATTAGGATTAAGGTTTTTGTTTTATTTGTTTCGATGTGTTTTGTGGGCCGGTGAGCCCAAACCTATATTAAGATTAGAGTTTAGAGTTATTTATGTTAGTGATCATGTAAGGTTAAAAGAGGCACATGACAACGCACATCACGCAGGTGTATCATCCGAAGGTCATTTTCGTCTTCTACATTTTATATTCACGTTCGTTTACTTTTCTATCATTGTTTTTAACACATTTTTTGTTTCAGTTTTAATTATGTATATTCTTCTATATTTTGATTTTTTCATTGATAGTTAAATATTTGTATTGATTTTCTGAGAAGAATACAGTAGATCTTTAATGTTTCGTTTGTTCTCTTAACTCTTCATCTCCTAATATCTGTTGAATTATATAAACCGAAACCAATATCATAGTTTGCTTAATCTGTGTTAGAGATGTGATTATGTAATGTATGCAATTCTTAATTGTATAAGGATAATTTGAGTTAATCTTTGCTTAGTTGGTTAATTTTGGGTTGGAATAAGGGTTAAAAAAATTTAATTTCTTAACCTAGGATAAGTGACACTACATTCGAATAAGGAAATCAATTGTTTTCTCACTATTTTACTCAAATTATATTTTCGTTAATTTTAAATTTAATTACTGCACTACTTTATTTAAAAACAATTATTGACTCTTGCAATTTTAATTAAAAACACTTTATTTTAATTTTATAAATTTCAATTATTTAAATTATATTTTCGTTTAATTTTAATTGTTAACAACTTGTTTATTATTTTTTATCAGTATTTTGTGCGAAATGTTGTTATCAACCATCCATTTCGTGTTTAAAATTAAAAAAAAACTTCATAATTTTTTCTTATTCAGATATTTCGACAAAAACACAAATAGAAAAACATATATAAATGAGTCACCGAGAGAGAAAAATACTAAGAGAAAAAATGAAACCTTAAAGTAACAAATATAAAAGATAGTAAACAAGTATGAAATATATATGAATTTTATCTTATGGAGAAGAATGTGTTTATGTAATTATAAAACTTTTTGAATTCTCTTAACAATGAGATACTCGAGACTTTATGAATTATCTTTATGAGACAATCGAGACTTTTAGAATATTCTTTTCATAAATTTTTATATTATATATTATCCTTCCGACTCTTTGTATTGTATCACAATAAAAAAAAAAAATTAGTAAAACGGGTCGCGAGTTGGTCCGCTCCGCCTCGCAGGTTAGTGGGCTTAGCAGGGTGGGCCAAAACGAACTAATGGGCTGAAAATATTAACCTGCCCCACCATATTATAAGTAAGGTCGGTCCGTCGGCTTAATCCGTTTTGTCATCCCTAGGTTCATGTTTTTTGTCTGTGTCTCATAAAGAGAATTCATAAAGTTTCAAGTATCTCACAGCTTAAGAAAATTAAACAAGTTTTATAATTACATAAACACATCATTCTTTTCATAAATCTTTATATTATATATTATCTTTCTGACTTTTTGTATTGTATCACAATAAAAAAAATTAGTAAAACAGATCGCAAGCTGGCCTGCTCTGCCTCGTAGGTTGGCGGGCTTAGCAAGACGGGTCAAAATGAGCTAATGGGCTAAAAGTATTAACCCGCCCTGCCATATTATAGTGAGCTAGCACTGTCGGCCTGACCCGTTTTGCCATCCCTAAATTCAGGTTTTTTTGGTTTGGGAATAATAATCAATTTTATATTTAAATTTAAATTTTAAAATATTATTTATTAAAAAAATATTTGATTTTTTCTCATATATAATATATAAAGAAAATTTCTTTTATATTTTTTAATTTTTCTCACCCACTTTTTAATATTTTTTTATCTTTTTAATAAAAAACGCGCCAGGTAGGGGTCGAACCTACGACCTTCTGCTTAGGAAACAGACGCTCTATCCACTGAGCTACAAGCGCTTATTGATAATATTATATAATAAAATAATTAAAAGAAAAATAAAATGATTCGAAAGGATCGCATTTGCAGCTTCTGCAACCCCTTCATTCCTGTCCCGGTGCAAGTTTTTATTCCAGTAACAGCGTTGCTAATTCCATTTTTTAACTACTATTTTTCATTTAACTATGTACCTGATTAACCTGAGAATAAGTAAGTTCAAAATTATGGATATCATTTAACTGTTGTGGGATTCTCAGCATTTCCATTTCAGATCAATCCATATCAAAGATAATTTATATAAATTATTAAAAGTATTATTATAACTGACATTGAAATATTATATTATAAAATTGAAGTGATCACCAGCTATTAATTTCTATTAAAATACCACCTTCTGTAAGTTGATATATATATATATATATATATATATATATATATATATTTTTTTTTTACGAATTTAAAACCTTATTTCATACCAATATAATATTGGTAATGTTTCCTTATACTTTTCATTTTTAGCTAAGTATGCATTAACATTTTCCATGTTTTAAAAATATGGGTAAACAATAAAATAGGGTGTATGAGTAACTTCTAGAATTGTTGTGGATATGTATATCCGTGTATTAAACTTCGAATAAATAAAGATATGACGCTGAACACTAGTTTCGGAAATTCTATCACTGAAATAAATTACATTTTACTTAACAAAAATTTAAGCAATTCTTTAACTTATTTATCGTAAGAAACTATGATTAATCATTCAAGATTCTAGACAGACAAGATATTTATTTTCCTTTTAATATAACTTATTATATATTTAAAGTCATATAGCAAGTGAACACTAAATATATATATTTATTTTTTCTATGTATAATTTAATTAGTTCAATTATTAAATAACTCAATAACTAGTTATAGTTTATTAACGAGTGAAAGAGCTGTTAAAGTTCCATAGAAGCAAGAAAGTGAAGTTGAAGAAAGAGGAGAGAGGGAGAATCAGCGATCGTAATCTGAAGTGAGAAGCGAACACGCCACGAACAACGGAGAAAGAAGCGATGTCGAGTGGCGGAAACCTTGGTTGCGTGTTGGTGTCGGTCGATGGAAGCGAGGAAAGCATGAAGGCGTTGCGTTGGGCTCTCAACAACCTCAAGCTCCGATCCCCTACTCCCGACTCCACCGAGGCTCCTTCTTCTTTCATCATCTTCCACGTCCAATCGCCGCCCTCCATCGCCGCTGGCCTTAATCCCGGTGCCATCCCCTTCGGTGGCCCCAGTTCCGTACATTCTCTTTACAACTTTTACCTTCTCCGCATATATATCATTTACCCGGTGCCATCTTCATTTGATTTAAGCAGGTGAAATCGAAGTTCCTGCTTTCACTGCAGCCATTGAAGCGCACCAGCAGCGCATCACCCGCGCCGTACTCGACCACGCCCTCCAAATTTGCTCCCAATTCAACCTCAGCGTGCGTTTTCCTTTTCTCCCTCTTTCTTATTTTATTTTTTCTTCAATCTATGTTTGACCGTTAAGTTACCCTCGCCTGCGATTTATTATTATTATTATTTTTTTTTTGCGAAAATGATCTTTGTCGTTGAAATGTTTGAAACGGGGAATTGTCTACTGGTGAATTCGGATTTTAATTTATAGATTTTTCTAATTTCGTTTTTGTGATATTGTTAATTATAAGATAAATTAAGACTTTTTTTTTCTTTTATTACAATAGGTCAATTTTTCTTGGATTTTATTAAAATAAGTCCTTTTTAAAAAAATTACGAAAAATAGTTAAATTGCACTTATTAAAACGATTTTAAATATTAATAAATAATATTACGTAGCATAATTTTAATAATTATTTTTTAAATTAATACCGATTTGTATGATTTCAATTTCAGTTATATCTAATTTTTTAAATTAATAATTTATATAAAAATTAATTAGAAAATATTAATTATATAATACTTAATATATATATATATATATATATATAATTTATATATATATATATATATATATATATATATATATTAAACATAAATACTAAATTTATTAATTATATTAATAACTTTAATTTATATTTTAAATACTATTAATTTTTAATGATCCATATAGTTATTTTATTAATATTATAATTAGTTTATATATATGTTTTTTTTTTGAAATCAGATATAACCGAGTCGTACTAGACTTCAATTTTAAAAATAATTATACTGAAGTCCTGGGTTGCACCATTTCATGAAAAAATTCGATCTATATTTCATAATGTTTTTTTAAATATCTATTTTGACAAAATTGAAGAAAAATTGCCTCCCTTTCCTTAAAAAAAAAAAAAGCCATAAATTAATTCCACCTAATAGCTTTTTAGTGGTCCACATTTTTCATTGTCTGAACCAGTTTTTTTTATGATGACTTTCTTTATGTCACTCTCCCTTTATTTTAACCTTTTTTGCATGTAAATTTCCATTTTTGTCTTTCGGATTGTGAACGTTATTTCCTATTCTGAGGATTGGAAATAAAATAAAACTTCAAAATCTTAGTTATCAAATGAGGATTCAATCTCTTTCGGCTTTGCTAAGGAGCTTTAGCTACCGGTTTAGTATGAAAATGGGTCATGAAGCTTTGGGTTGTTTGGGACTGGGTGCTTTGAAAGAGAAAGGAGGACAATTTTTTTTTTAAATAAGAGTTGTATCATATTTATGAAAATAAGATGTTATTAAGGTAATAAATGTTTTTAATCTAATACTTTTTTTTTCTAATTTTTAAATAATGTAAATTTTTAAAATATATTTATCTTTTTCCTTTCGGGCTCAAACCTAGGCATATCCCATTTCTGCTTGTGCTCCTTCTCAAGTTATTGTCAGCTATCGTGTAGTGTAGTTGACATTTCTCTTTCTGTTTCAGAGTAAGGTCAGAACTCATGTGGTAGTTGGAGATCCAAAGGAGAAGATTTGTGAAGCTGTGCAGGATTTGCATGCTGATGTTCTTGTGATGGGATCTCGTGCATTTGGCCCCATTAAGAGGTACAAAATTACTACTGACAAATCTTGTCAGTTGCCAGAAAGTAATACATAAATTTTCAATTGGCACATAAACATACTTTATCGTAGTAATCCTGGTTTGGACAGCACATATCACAAAAATTGACTTGATAAACAACCTGGACGATTATTCCCTTTGAAAATGTTAACGAGTTCTAGGAGTGCAGTCATGCTGTTGTGTTGGCTTGGATTTTGCACTATCAGTTATTACACCTGCCTTTCCTAATAAATGTTTCCATAATTGTTGGCTATATATGATACTAGCATATGACAACCATAACCAATTATTTTGTCCTCTGTATCATTTGTCATTTATCTGCAGATAGAGATAGATATGCTTCTTTTAACATTTTGGACACTTGTTTAAAACAATTTGAATTTTGAATTTGGCTTTCAGGATGTTCCTGGGGAGTGTGAGCAATTACTGTGCCCACCATGCTCCATGTCCTGTCATTATTGTCAAGGAAAACGACAGTGTCATTAAGAGGAACTGATGCACTTCTACTATGCTATCACAACACTTGATCAGTATGTAAGGCTCCATTTTATGTTGCATCCCTCAGACTGTTTAGGATTTCAGTATAGTATTATAATACTGTGCATTAATTCGGAATAGTATAATTTTATGATTCTAAATAAATTGTGGAGATATGGATAAACTAGGAATGTTATATCTGCCCAGATTTGTAGGATCATGTTAAGGGGAATAATGTGGGATTTATTTTCACTAATTGTGACAAATTTTATCTGCATAAATACAAATTGTATCCTCTGTTATTGGTATCAATTTTAATAGAGAATATTTTTCTACATGGCATCAAAAGCTTTAGGGTTTGGTTAGGAAATGTAAGTCTGTCTGCCATGGCAAATTCTAGTCCAGGCACCACTGATATGAACGGTGGTGTGTTGTCCTCAGGAGGAGGCAATTCCCAGCCCGCACTAACAGCCTTATCTTCCACTAACCACTCTCTTTAAAATATCATTCATAAATTGAATGGAAAAAATTATCTTGAGTGGTCCATATCCATGCAAAATTGATGATTGACGGCAAGGAAAACTTGGATATCTGAATGGGGAAGTGATTGCCCCAGCCGTCAATGATCCAAAATACCGGCAGGGGCATTCTGAAAACTCAGTGGTTACTGCATGGCTAATCAATTCTATGTACCAAGTTATTGGTAAGCCTTCCATGTTTTACCAACTTACCGTGATGTATGGGCAACTATGTAAGAGACATTCACACCCGGATAATCACTCTCACTTGTTTGAATGGACTACTCGGATGTGGAAAATACAACAGGAGGAATGTGAAGTTACTGTCTATTACAATGAGATGATGACAATATGGCCGTAGATGGATATGTTTGAAGAAGAAGGCTGGGCAAACAACAACGATAGTGTTCGGTACAAAAAAAGGTGGAAAGATGAAGGATATTGTCTACTTAGTAGTGCTTAACAAAGAACATGATGAAGTTCGGGAATTAGTGGGGCAATTTACTTTTCAAATAAAATATATAATTTTATTCAAGTCAAGTGGGGTTTTTGTACACTCTCAACTACACACAATTATATCATAAAGTAGCAGTTAGTGGGTTAAAATATATAAGATTAGGGAGGACAAAATAAAATTTTTTCAGATACTTAATAATAATTTTAACAAAATTAGGGGTACACTTGTATACTCTCGTATATATATAGGTCTGCCACTGTCAGGGGCATATATTGGGAAAGAGACATTCATGCATTCCAAGCAAGCAATACTTATCCAGGTGCAACAATCTTCTTCAGAATCTCTTCCCTTCACAAAGGAACAGATAAAGCACTCCAAACTCTTCCAATCTCATCCTGTGGGAAATACTAATTCATCTTGTTCTATAGCCCAAACGGTAATCGTTTTATTGCCACTGTTAAAAGGTCCAGTGACCCTTGTATATTAGATTTCAGGTGTCACCAATCATATGATCAATGTTTCAGTCTTTTTCCGCATATACACCGTATGCAGGAAATAAGAAAAATTGCCTATGGTTCCTAGCTACAGTAGCGGGAAAAAGAACTGTAGTGTTTCCTCCTTTAACTCTTAAAGATGTTCTACATGTCTCTAATTGTTGTCTGATCTTCTCATTATGAATTTCAAGATTTATCCCCGGGGAAGATGATCGGGGGTGTTAAGCAAGACCATGGTCTCTATCTTTTTAATTATTACCGCATGTTGGGAAGGCAAGACCAACAAAGTCGTTCCAATTTTGTTTGTGTTTCTATTAAAGACATTATTATGCTATGGCATTGTCGATTTGGACAGCCTAATGTCTGATATTTAAAACATTTTTTTCCCAATTCTTTTCCAATAAAGATTCGTTATCTTTTAAATGTGAATATTGTGAACTGGCAAACATCATTATGCTATTTTCCCTCCTTAACCATACAAAAAATCTTACCCTTTTACAGTGATGTTTAGGGCTCTTCTCGAACAATAACTATATATGGAAAACGTGGGTTCATTACTTTTACTAATGATAATGTTAGGGTTACTTGGGCATTTCTTTTACATTAAAAATCTGAAGCTGCCCTTGCGTTCAAACATTAATAATGTCATTAAAACACAATTTCAAACTCAGCTTAAAGTTTTTCGCAGTGATAATATGGCAAAGAATTTTTTAATAATATGTTGTAACAAAGGCATTATGCATCAAAGTTCTTGCACTAATACAACTCAGCAAATGGGGTGGCAGAATGAAGAAACAAACATGTCCTTCAAGGTGCTAGGCCTCTAACTTTTGAAACAAAAGTCCCTAACTATCTTTGGGAGGAGGCTATTTTAATTACCACCTACTTGATAAATAGACTAATTACCAGAATTTTGAACTTTCAAACTCCCATGCAAACATTTATTACATGTTTTCCTTATTTCTGATTTATAACTAACATTCCCTTAAGGATTTTTGGGAGTATGGCTTTTGTTCACAATCGTGACCCCAAGCATTCCGAACTTGATCCCAAAGAACACAAATGCATTTTTGTTGGCTATCCCTCTAACCAAAGAGGTATAAATGTTTTGGAAAGATACAAGTTTCTTTCGCATAGTAGCTAAAGGATTTACAAAGACATGTAATAGATTATTCCGAAACATTTTCTTCAATGGCAAAGCTGAACACTATTCGGGTTCTCCTATCAGTTGCAGTGGCCATTAACTCAGCTAGCTTTAAGGATTACATTTCTGAATGGAGATTAGAGGAAGAAGTGTACATGGAACCTCCACTCTATTTGCTGAAAAAATTGTGAATAGGTGTGCAAGCAGAAAAAAATCCTTATATGGTCTCAAATAGTCCCTTAGAGCGTGTTTTGAAAGATTCACTAGCTTTCTAAAATGCTTGGGTTATAATCAAGGTCATTAAAACTATTGTGGGCAAAGTTTCCATTTTAATACGTAGATGGCATAATATTGACAGGAGATGATTTAATTGAGATGAACATGTTGAAGAAAAATCTTGCCAAGGAATTTGAGATTAAAGACCTTGAGCAACTTTTGTACTTTCTTGGAATGGAAGTGACAATATCAAAGAGCAACATAGTCGTCTCATAGTGGACGTACATCTTAGATCCCTTGAAAGAAATTGGAATGATGGGTTGCAAGCCTTTTGACGAACACTCCTACAGAAGTCAAAACTAAACTTAAAGATGGTGAAGTAGACACAGATAAATAACAAAGATTGGTTGGGAAACATATCTACTTATCTCATACACACCTATACATTGCTTTTTCTATTAGGATGGGGAGTCAATTTATGCATTCCTTGTACGTAGAACACATAGAGGCTATATACAAAATTCTTAGGTGCCTCAAAAGCACATTCGAGAAAGGTTTATGTTTTGGAAGGCATGAGAAAAGAGAGATTTAGGTAAATACACATGTTGATTGAGGAGGCTTTTTTTTCATTGATAGAAGGTCAACCTCGAGGTATTGTACATTTTCATGAGGTGATCTTGTCATATGGAGTAGCAAAATACAAAATGATGTTGCCAGGAGTAGTGTTGAAGACGAAATTAGATCAGTGGCTTATGGAATATGTGAAGTCTTATGGATGAAACGTGTTCTAGATGATCTTGGAAGAACTATTGGTTCTCTCTAAGTAGTTTGTTTTGTGATAAAAAGGCTGCTGCAAGTATTATACATAATCCAGTCTTACATGTCCAAAACAAAACACAATGAGATTGCTAAACACTTTACCAAGGAGAAGCTTGAAGGTGGAGTAATTTGAATTCTTTTTGTCCCAAGCAATCAGAAAACTGCTCACATTTTAACAAAGGTCAAGTCACCAAGTTGGGCATGATTGATATATTTGCAACAATTTGAGGGGAGTGTAGATTAATTAGGAATATTAGGATATTATGATTCAAAAAAATATTTTGGAGATATGGAAAAATTAGGAATGTTATATCTATCCAGATTTGTAGGATCAAATTAAAGGGAATGAATCTGAATTAGATCAGATTTATTTTTTAGGAATGTCTCTATTATTTTGTTTCCTTATTTGTGGGACATGTGTTTCTAGTTAATGTGTGATTTATTTTCCTTATTTATAGCAGATTTGATTGGTATAAATACAAGTCTTATTGGTGTCAATTCAATAAGAGAATATTTTTCTACAGCTATTATAGTTGAGCTTTGTTGGTATGGAAGCTAGAAGCAAGTTTGGAGCTTGAAGATTTGATGTTCCCAACCAGTATGCAGATGATGATGTTGATACTGTGTTTCATCTTAACTTCGAGTTATAATGTTAGGGCTGTGTTGTACATGATTTCTTTATTCTTGATCTTGCATAGTTTAAGTAGGAAATTCATTTGGAAATCTTTTGACCTTGATTGAAAGGTGTAGTGTGGTTTAAGTAGATTAAAATGTATTTTAATATCTTAAAATGTTAAGATTGTTGTGTTTTCAATAAGAACATTTTAATAGATTAAAATATTATTTTAATAGATTAATTTCACTTAAATATTTCAGAAGACTAACTTTTTTAATCAATTAAAATCACTTAAAGTATTCACTTTAGTGATTTGAATGGATTAAAATAATTTTAATGGATTAAAATGCTGAAACTTCACAACTTTGTTTAGTGGATTAAAACCTATTTTAGTCAATTAGAACTATCAACTATAAAAGCTAGCTATCTCATCAAACAAAAAAATGGAATTAATTTTGAAATAGTTTGGAACTTTTTGAAAACCTTTAGATTAGTTGTGCAAAAGAGAAAAACACTTCTTTGCATTGTTCTACTTGATCAATGGCTTGAAGGTCATAAATTAAGCTAACCACATATGAGATCACCTTTGTCTCTATTCTTCATATCTCGTGCTGAAATTATTTTAGGTGATCTTATTCTTTTTTCTCATTTCTTGAGTGGAATTGTTCTTGACCAGGGTGGTCAAGGTGTTGCTTGTGATAGGGTTTCAAGTTGTGATAGTGGTGGATTTTGAAGGGTTCAAGTAGTTTTGGGTGTTTTCTTATTTTCTTGAGGGATTTTTGTAAAAATATAAAATATAGAGGATTGTTCTAATTGAGATAATTAGGCATCAAGATGTAGCTATCTTGTGAGGGTGAAATATAATTCTAGGTGTGTTTCCTTGTTCTCTCTCTTGCACATTAATTTTTTTTTTGTTTTATCTTGTTTGTATGCTCAACGAATGCTAAAGAACATTAACATTAATACTTTTTTTATATTAAACTATGATTTTGTAAGTGTTGTATTTTGTTTCAAAGAAAATAACTCAAAAATAACTCACTCATCTTGTAAGTACCTTTACAAGTTTATTTCACCCCTCTCTTAAACTCAACTCCCATTCTATTTTTTTTAGTTTATTTTTAATTTTTTTATCTGAGCCATGTGCCAGAAATAGATTTATCCAAGGAATGATGTGATTTAATTATGGTTTCTATCAAATATAGGTGTCTTAAGGATAGAACATATCACTTTCTTTCTAAACAAAATTTCTTCTAGTTTCCCTAGTTGCTAATAAGAAGACCTTTTGTTGTGTTTTGATATCTTTGTCCATCGTTTATTTCTCGTGTGCTACAGAATATGCATCCATCATAATCAACTCATAGATCATACTCGTGACACAACACAATTGTATATCATACATACCTAACTCATGATAAGTCACACCTTTACATGCATTGTTATTCCTTTGGTACCTGCTGTTTTTATGAGGATGTGGCAACTAACAAGTGTCCTTTAGTCTTGTGTCCCAGCTGATTATAAGATAAAATACAAAAACAGCTTTGTGTATTATATATTTGAAGTGGGAGCACTTGGACAAATATTTTTCTATATAATTGTTTTTTATATTTTCTAAAACTCTTGCTACAACAAAATCAAGCCATCACTTACAATTTACAAAGTAGAAGAGTTCTGAAAACAATTTTGATTTTAATTTTTAGGTTTTAAGGTCGGTTAACAGTACCATACTTCAGTTGCTGATGCTGCATCCTTGCTTGCCACATTAATTTGGTCGAAGGCCTTTTTTTTTGTCTTGGAATTTGCTTGCTTTGCTAGACCAGTGTTGTACCTCAGCGTTGAAGCTTATGTCTTGTTGTTGTGCCTATGCTAGCTAGATCCTGCTACAAGTACGTGTTATCACTTTCTGTGGACAATGCTGCTGTGCGTGTGAAATTCTTGCAGTTAAGAGTGCTTTACAACTGTGCTGTTACAACTTGTTGTCCCCAATGTTTGACAGAGATATTTGACTCCAGAAGGTTTGCATTCGTTTTGAATTTATACAACGTCGTACATAAATATTGCATTACTATTGGTCCTTTGTCAGAGTCAGTTCTAGTTGTGATATACCACAAACTGGCCATTCATCATGTACAGATTTTCAAATTGAGGGTGCAGCTTGTGTTGGCTGCAACCTGCGTGTCTTTCTCTTGCATTATCAATACATTGTCAAGCTTGATAAACATTTATATGATTTATGACAGAAATCTATAGTGCCATGCTACTAGTTGATTTGTTTTTACTGGGAAGGTATATGCATCTAGTTTAAATTTTTATGACTATTGCAAAATGTGAGTTTACTATTTCAACTATCATTTTTTTTCTAATGGAGTTAAAACTTTATCAGTATTTTAATAAATTCAAGTTATAGTTGGTTTGTTATAATGCTCTTTCTAATAACTGTAGGACCTTCATTCCTCTCCCACAGAATGTAAATGAGATGGGGTGAAGAAAATTTGTAAATGGTTTTATTCAAAAGCTTGAAGAAGATAGATTAGTTGTAAAGGGTCTTCATTTGCAAAGGAATTTAATTTAAGACAAGGGATATGTTAGAAACTTCAAGTCTTGTGGCTATGCCTGCTACCATTATTGTGCTCACCCTTACTTTCTTTAGGTCTTAACCAACTCAACAGTCATCAACTAAACTTCAATAATACTCTTATCAATGATGATTTGCAAAGGAAATCCACATGCAGAAACCAAAGTTTACATAGTATGGGAATCTTGTTTGCACATTAGAAAAGACATTCTTTGGTCTCAAACAAGCTCCTAAAGCTTTATTTTAGCAGTTGTTGACTATATACTTTAGTTTTAGATTTCCACTAAGAGTGATTCCTCTGTCTGCTAGACACTGGTCAATCCATTATTGTAATCTTAGTTTATGTTGAAGATATCTTAATTAGAAGCAGCTCTTTTTGATGAATTGATGATCTAATTTTGGCCTAAATGATAATTTTTCCCACAAAGTCCTACATAGCTCCACTTCTTCCATGACATTGAAGTGACCAGAGCATCTGGGGGAAGGCTTCGTTCTCAGTCCAAAAATACAAAGCATAGGTGATGTTAAATCAATGCCTTATATCTAAAACTTTCCTCTGAAGGTGAGTGATTGTCCAAGACCCCAAGTACTTGTAAGACCCTGTTGTGAGTTTTGGGCATTGGGTAACCTAACTTGCATGGTGGATCGTATCTGGAGGAGGAGATTGTTCACTAATTGTGTAACATCCCGTGACATCACATGTGACTATTTTAGTTTCATTAGAAAAATATCAATACATTTTTCAAAATGTCAAAAAACAAGCTAAAAACATTAAAATGAATAAAATATATGTATATAAAATAACCTCAAATATTGTCTCGATGAAAAAAAGGTAATAATGTTCGATAACACATGCAATGTTTGAAAGGATTAGGTGCCCTCTCTGTAAACAAAAACTAAAACTTAAATTATACAGAAATTTACTTTTATAACTTAAAAAACTATTTAAATTATTTATTAGAAATCTAAAATTACACACACACACACACACACACACACACACACATATATATATATATATATATATATATATATATATATATATATATATATAATTTATTGCGGGACTACCTCCAGTTTCGCAACAAAAGTACGAGAAAAATTAGCTAAAAAATACCCTGAACCATTACAAGATATCACCTATGGAAAAATAATTTCAACCATTAAAAACACTGCCTTAGAAATATGTAATAATTTAAAATTGGAAAAGCAGATTAAAAGACAACAAGAAAGTGGTACAAAAGAATTAGAAGATTTTTGTATACAACATGGATACGAACGATTAGATCCTCCTTCCGAGAAAAATTAAGAAACAAATAATTAAACGAAAATTCTCTCAGAATAATAATAGAAACATCCCTAGAAACTTTAAAAGAAAAATAAGAACAAACTCATCTACAAATAATAATCAATCTAATCTCAAGAAAGGAATAGTTTGTTATAAATGTGGAAGATACGGACACATGAAAAAAGATTGTAGAGTAAGAGAACGAATACAAAACTTAGATATGAGTGAAGAAACCAAAAGTCAAATAGCAAAAATATTGTTATATGAGTCGAAGAAGACATTAATAATCTAATAGAACCTAGTAGTAGTGAAGAAGAACATACTACAAGTGAAAATGAAAATGAAGAAAATTGTGATCTGTATATTTAACATAAATGTGCTAACTACATAAACTAAAATAGCTTTAGAAATGGTATATAAACTTCCAAATGAAGAAGATAAGTTAGAATATTTAACTAGACTAAAAACATTAATATTAAGTGAGAAAGAAGCGAAACATGATACCAAACGAAGTAAGTGGTTATGATTTTTCCAAAATATTAAGAAAAGCAATAAATAAAGAAAAATCTGTAAATTTACAAGATTTACAAAAAGAAATAAGCTTTCTAAAAGAAGAAATTAAAGAAATAAAAATTCAATTAGTAGAATTAAAAATAAAAAATGAAATACAAGAAGAAAAAATGAATAGTATAACTAATAAAAATATCTTAAATAATGAATCAACATCTGAGAAGGTTAACCAACTACAAATTCTACAACAAAAATGACATATAAAAGCTACATTAAAAATTGGAAATAGTTTTCATAAACAATTTACAGCTTTAGTAGATTCTGGAACAGATATAAACTGTATAAGAGAAGGACTGATACCTACAAAATTTTATGAAAAAACTTTACAAACCCTAAGAACAGCCAACTTCGAAAAACTAAAAGTAAAATATAAATTGTCAAACGCCAGTATATGTAATAAGGAAACTTGTTTTAAAAATATTTTTATATTAACCCTCGATATTAGTGAAGAAATGATATTAGGAATCCCATTTCTAGCATTAATTTACCCTTTTGAAGTATCCGAACAAGGAATAAAACATAAAAACCTTTTATTCGAATTCATTAAACCAATAAAAAATAAAGAAATACAATTAGTGACTAATGTAAATGAAGAAAATTTTCTATTAAAATTAGAAGCTAAAAATATCCATATAAAATATTTAAAACAAGAAATAGCATACAAAAGAATAGAAGAACAGTTAAAAAATCCCGAAGTAATTACAACCTTTAAAAATATAGAACAAGAAATTATAAAAGAAGTATGTGCAGAAGTTCCTACAGCCTTTTGGAATAGACATACTTTTGAAATAGAATTACCCTATGAAGAAGGATTTCTAGAAAAGAATATTCATACTAAAGCCAAACCAGTACAATTAAATAAAGAAACGCTAGAATATTGTAGAAAAGAAATAAAATCTTTTTTATATAAGAAACTTATTAGGCCAAGCAAATCTCCTTGGAGTTGTAATGCCTTCTATGTGCAAAATGCCTCTGAAATAGAAAGAGGAGAACCCAGGATGGTAATAAATTATAAACCTCTAAATAAAGTATTAAAATGGATTAGGTATCCTCTACCTAATAAAATTGAATTAATAAGCAGAATTTATAAAGCCACTATATTTTCTAAATTTGATATGAAAAGTGGATACTATCAAATCAAATTAAAAGAACAAGATAAATATAAAACTGCTTTTATTGTACCTTTTGGGCAATACGAATGGAATGTAATGCTTATGGGTTTAAAAAATGTGCCTTCAGAATTTCAAAAAATAATGAATGATATACTAAACCCTTACTCAAAATTTGCAATTGTCTACATTGACGATGTATTAATATTCTCCGAATCAATAGAACAACATAAAAAACATTTAAGAATATTTAAAAATATTATAAAAATCAATGGAATGGTAATATCACAAAAGAAAATAAAACTAACACAAACCCAGATTAGATTTTTAGGTCATGAAATAAATAAAGGGACTATAATTCCTATTAAAAGAAGTATTGAATTTGCAGAAAAATTTCCTGATGAAATAAAAGATAAATTACAATTACAAAGATTTTTAGGATGTTTAAACTATGTATCAGAATTTATACCTAATATTCGAATATTATGTAAACCTCTTTTCAATAGATTAAGAAAAAATCATAAACCTTGGACCCCAGAAATGACTAAGATAGTAATAGAAGTTAAAAAATTAGTTAAGACTCTACCTCGCCTAGGAATACCTAATCCGGAAGCAAAAATAATTATAGAAAGCTGATGCTTTTGATATGGGATATGGAGGAATATTAAAACAACAATTACCTAATACTCCCGAACAAATAGTAAGATATCATTCAGGAATATGGAATGAAGCCCAAAGAAATTATAGCACTATTAAAAAAGAAATTTTAAGCATAGTTTTAAATATACAAAAATTTCAACATGATTTAATAAATAATTTTTTTATTAAGAATTGATTGTAAATCTGCAAAAGAAGTTTTAGAAAAAGATGTAAAAAATATAGTTTCAAAACAAATATTTACAAGATGACAAAGTTTATTATCTTGCTTTGAATTTGACATAGAATTTATAAAAGGAAAAGAAAATTTAATACCAGATTTTCTAACCAGAGAATTTTTGCAGGACCACTCCCATGACAACCCCTCTAAAAAACTAAATACCCCTGAAAAGAATAAAACAGAAAATCCTAAGTCATCTACATTGTCCCTAGATGACTTTCCTCCCTCATATTAAAAAACAATAGCCACCCGAAAACTTCCTACTTCCATAACCACTCTCCCCAACGATTTATTCCATTAACTCCACAAAAAGCTCGAATACTTCCCCGAAACAACTCCGAAGAAAGAATTTCATATAAAAGAAGGATGCCGAGAAGATAATCACTCTAGAAGAAGATTGGAATACAGAAGATGTATATGGAATAATTAAAAGGCTAGCCCCTCCAGGATGGAGTTGGATTCCTAGATCGGAAAATTTAAAGAAAACCAAAAAATTCTATCAATTTATTTTGATAGATACTGCTCTCACTGAAATAACTCTCATCCCTAATGATAGAGATCCTTTTATTATTAGTTACTCAAAATTAAGAATTATTAAAATAATTTCTTACCCATAATGGAATAAACATCCATTCACCGATAAGAGCTTTTCGAGGCCCTTTGACCCCCATTCTATAATTACTTTGATTACCAAGAAGCCTGGAACAAAATACTCTTCGACACAAACCCTAGGCATTCCCGGTATATCTCGTTTCAAAAAGGAAATACCCAATTCACTATCTAATTGGTTTATTGACTGATTTAATCAAATAGGTCCTGTTCGTGCAATAA